TCATCACTACTACAGGTAAACTTCCTCTTGAACTATATTATTCTCAATGTCTTCAATTCATAGGTGCTAAGGAGGGTTGACGGGGGAAGGAGTTGACGTGAGGAGAGGAGGTGTTGACAGGGAGAGGAGGTGTTGACGGGGGAGAGGAGGGTGTTGACCAGGGGAGAGGAGGGGTGTTGACAGGAGAGAGGAGGGTGTTGACGGGAGAGGAGGGGTGTTGACAGGGGAGAGGAGAGGTGTTGACGGGGAGAGGAGGGTGTTGACGGGGAGAGGAGGGTGTTGACCAGAGAGGAGAGTGTTGACGGGGAGAGAGGTGTTGAGGGAGAGGAGGGTTGACGGGGAGGAGAGGTGTTGACGGGAAGAGGAGGTGTTAGAGAGGAGGGTGTTGACGGGGAGAGGAGGGAAGGATGTTGAGGAGGAGGGTGTTGACGGGGAGAGGAGAGGGACGGAGGAAGGATGTTGAGGGAGAGGGGGTTCTGAGTTGGGGGTAATGAGGGTGTGGTGTTGACGGAGGAGGAGGTTGGGGGGGTCAAAGCAAGACACTGACCGCCCTCTTGGTGTCTTGTTAGTACCTCTGATCATGAACACGATATATAAAGGGAGAAGGAGGAAGGAGAAGACAGGGAGGGAAGAGAGAAGGGAGGGGGGAGGGAGGGGAGGGAGGGAGGAGGGAGGGGAGGGGAGGGAGGAGAGGGAGGGAGGGAGGGGAGGGAGGGAGGGGAGGGAAGGGGGAGGGAGGGAGGGAGCGGGGGAAGGTGGGAGGAGGGAGGGAGGAGGAAGCCTTGAGGTCGACAAGAAACAATTGGTAAAGATGAGTGCTATCTGGTCGTAAACCCACAGCTCCTTCCCTCCTTCCCTCCTCCTCCTCCTTCCACCCTTTCTTCCCTCCTTCCCTCCCTCCTTCCACCAATCCAATGTTTTTTTCATGACCTCCACCACTACCTCCAGGACTCCTCCCTGGCCTCTTGACCTCCAGCACTACCTCCAGCACAGCCTCTTGACCTCCTTGGCTCTACAATATATTTAATGAACCACCATTTTTAGCCCTTAACAGAAGTTGAGAAGCAGCGGGTAATAACAGAGACCAGTGCCCACTGTATCCTACACTTGGCTCCACTTCTGCAGGATCTGACGGCTTTTGGAGGACACGGGGGGCAGTAGGAGGAAGCTGGGAGGAGAGGAATCCTTCGTTAATCCTACTAAAACCCATCCATACACTTGAACAGATTCCTACAAGATCCTAAGGCTTTTGGAAAATACTAAAGGTGGGTGGTAAAGGCCCCCAAGTCCTTCGTAAATCCTACTAAGATCCAGGATGTCTCTCTCTCTCTCTCTCTCTCTCCCTCTCAGCACCTACGTCTATCACCACCAGCGCCTTCTGCAGGTATTAACTCCTCAGCATCAACAAGGTGAAAACAAGGCGCTAACACATGAGAAATATTTTGGTTGAATTAATCTTGACTCATGATCTCTCTCTCTCCTTCCCTCCCTCTCTCCCCCCTTGTGGTCAGTTTACAACAGTATGGCACCCAAGGGACAGTTCCTCCCTCACCCCTCACCTCCTTCTTCTCTTCCACCAGATTCTTTGACCCTCCCTCCCCTCTCCCCTTCCTCCCCTTCCCTCCCCTTCTCCCTCCACCATCCCTCCCTCCCCTGGCTGCCTCTCTCTCCCTCCCTCTCCTTACCTCCATCGTCCTCCCCTCCCCTGGATACATACTCCCCACATTTCCTCTCTCCCCTCCCTCTTTCTCTCATTTTCTTCCTATTTCCTCCCTTCTTCATTTTCTTTACACTCTTCCTCTTCTTCCTCAGTTGTCATAAGGTCAAGAGACTCCCAATGAAACAATTCCTCGTTCAATTATCCCAAACATAACCCTGGATGGTCGACCAGTGTCAGTCAGAACACAGTCTGCCTTCAACAGACACACGTACATAACACTCCACTAACTCCACCCATGTATCATAACTACGTCAAGTGTAAGAAAGTTAAAATAGTAAAAATAATAATAATATTAATAATAATAATAATAACTAATAATAATAACAATAACAATAACAATAACAATAATAATAATAATAATAATAATAATAATAATAATAATAATAATAATAACTAATCATTATGTTAAATATGAATGCAAAAATACCGTCAAACACCCAAAGCTCTAATCAGTCAGGTCAGTAAAGGCTGTTAATGAATTACCTTAGTGAAAATAGTTAATATATATCTTAATTATTGTATTGGGTAATGTTAAGTTAATTTATCCCTTAACTAGAAACGATAAAAGGTAATTAGCTGATTAATTTTAACAGGGGTTCATTTGGGATTCGATTATGAGGTTTAATTATGTCGTATAAATCTTTGAGAACCTCTGGTGACATTTGAGAACCTTTGAGAGCCTTTGTGAACCTTTGAGAACCAATGAACCTTTGTGAACCCATAAACCAGTGAACCCTAATGAACCCATGAACCCTGATGAACCCAAGAACCAATGAACCCTTATGAACCAGTGAACCCTTATGGACCAGTGAACCCTTATGAACCTTTATGAACCTTTGTGGTGGTTCACTTAGCGTGATTACCCTCAGGAGTGATGTGTGTTGACTTTAACAATATGACACTGTAAGACACGGAACAATGGCCGCACGGAACACTCCCAGACCAGATACACGGAACATTGGCTTTACGGAACACTTGAGACACACGGAACACTCCCAGACCAGATACACGGAACATTGGCTTCACGGAACACTTGAGACACACGGAACAATTTAAAGTATTTTGTGAATAATTCGTGGAGTTGTGATTGCGGATCTCTCTCTCTCTCTCTCTCGGCCCCGCCCTCGCTGCTTGTAGGATAAAAAGAGGAAGTTTATACTGCACCCAAGAGAGAGAGAGAGAGAGAGAGAGAGAGAGAGAGAGAGAGGGGGGGAGGGGAGAGTCGGGAACAAACACACTATCAGTCTCTGCTTATGGCGGGGTATAATAAAAGTAAGTATTATAGAGAGGTTAAAGAGAAGAGTTTACCAGGTCTTCTTCTTATTCTTCTTCTTCTTCTTCTTCTTACGTCTAGTCTTCATTTTAGTCCTCCTCTTCTTGCTTATCCTAATCCTCTTCCCTCCTTCCTCATTATTCTCCTCCTCCTCCTCCTCCTCTTCCCCCTCCCTCCCTCCCAATTATTATTCTCTTTTTTCTCCTCCTTCCCTCCCCATTGTTCTTCTCCTTCTCCTTCTCCTCCTCCTCCTTCTCCCCCTCTTCTTCTTCTTCACCAAAAGACCAAGACAGTGCTGGCGTGCTACTCCTAAACTTTACCATGAAGAGACCAGCTTCTTCTTCTTCTTCCTTTTCCCCTCCTCCTCTTCCTTCTATGTATCCTCCTCTTCCTCCTCTCTTCTTCCTCCTCCTCCTCTCTTTCTCCTCCTCCTTATATAACCAAATTATGTGGAGAGAAACTTTCCCTGAGACTATTATCTGCATGTTCTCCTTCCTTCCTTCCTTCCTTCCTTCCTTCCTTGTCTTCTCTCTTTCTTTAATTTTTTTCTCACTTAACCTCCTTCCCCTCTCTCTCTCCCCCTCTCTATGTATGTATGTATATATGTATGTATGTATGTATGTATGTATGACTCCAGTTTTCCCCCGTAAGCAATCATTATTTACTAACAAGACAAGTTTTAAGGGGGCCTTCTATAGCGTCCCATACGTCACAACAATAACAAAACACGCAAAATACCCTGTCAATTAAGCTCCACCTACAAAAGGCGTCCTTAGCAACCATCACAATTCAAAAGCACCTGATTGGTTCCTGGTTGCTAAGTCATGATGTCACTCAGCAACCAGAACCAATCAGATGTAAGTGTCGCTTTGTTTTCATCTGACGTCACAATATGTTTCTTAAATCCTGGTGGTGAGATAATGAATCTTTCTCAATGTTAACTGAGACACAATGAAGGATTTTTCAAGCTAGTGTTATTGAATTTGCTTCTCTGTAATGGCGTCTAAACTGTACAGAGACTCGACTGTAGAAATGGATTTGTTTACCCCTCCACATCTCCCCACCACCACACCTCCCTCACCACACCTTTCCCTACCACACCTCCCACTGTCCTTCCCCACCACACCTCCCCCCTCCCTCACACACCTCCCACTGTCCCTTCCCCACCACACCTCCCCCCCCTCCCTCACCACACCTCCCCCCCTCACCACACCACCCACTGTCCTTCCCCACCACACCTCCCCTCCCTCACCACACCTCCCACTGTCCTTCCCCACCACACCTCCCTCTCCCTCACCACACCTGCCGCACCTCACCTGCATACTAATCACCCACACACACACTCGCTCTCTCACACTCAATATTCGTGGCAGGAATATTTATGGGAATAACTGATCTAGTCTCTACATATTTTTTTTTTTTCATTCATGTAATAACTTGTAGGGTAATTACTGAGTGTTGGGGCGTCAGCACAGTAATTAGTGTTTTTCCTGTTGTCAGCCACCGTCAGGATCCCCCCTCAAAAAATAAGGTGTAAGTTAGTTTGTGTCTGTATGTGTAGTGAAGGTAGAGTCTTTGTGCAATTTTGACTCCATTGAAGCCATGTCTCCTGTACACACACACAAACAGAAAACGTACAACTAGTGTGTGTGTGTGTGTGTGCGCGTGTGTGGTCGGTGTAACAACCCAACATGTACGGCAGATGAATCACCCTCAAAAGAGAATATTTCCACCAGTAGTCAACGCTCTGCAATACACAACCTTTAACGCCCACTATCTTACTCCCAACATGGGGGTGCAGTGGCTGAGTGGCAACAGCACCTATATCCTATCCTAAGAGTCACTAGTTAGTATCTGGAACACTCAAAATCCACTTAGATAAATTATTACCTCACTTTACAACTGAGGAAATAAATACAGTCAAGTACAGTGCCCAACTAACCTCACCTGTACTGACAAGTAATACAGGTAGCTACAAGTAGATACAGGTGTGATTAATTTACTTACCTGCCAGTAATGTGATGAGGAGTGTGAGGCAGAGGCAGTGAGGAACACCGCCCATCACCACTCTGGCGCCCATCACCTTCAGTGTGGGCGTGAGGGAGGCTGTGGTCATGGTGGGGCCTCTCCTGAGTGTGGGCGTCCTCATGAGCGTGGGCGTTGTTGTTTTCGTTGTGGTGGGCGTATGCGTTGTCGTCGGCATGGGTGTTGTGGTAGATGCGGACGTGGGTGTGGGCGTAGATGTGGGCGCTGGTGTGGGCATTGAACTATGCCCACAATGGCAGTAAATTGTCCTTTTTCTTAACAAATATTTAATCTGTCTTTCGCAACTTGTAGGGTTTAACTCGGGTTCAGGTTTGGTTTAAGTAGGGGTAAGGTTTTCTTTAGGTCATGTTCAGGTTTGGTTTAAGTCAGGTTAAGACTTGGTTTAGGTAACGTTCAGGTTTGGTATAGGACAGGTTAAGATTTGGTTTAAGTCAGATTCAGGTTTGGTTTAAGTCAGGTTCAGGTTTGGTTTAAGTCAGGTTCAGGTTTGGTTTAAGTCAGGTTCAGGTTTGGTTTAAGTCAGTTTCAGGTTTGGTTTAAGTCAGGTTCAGGTTTGGTTTAGACCGGGTTTAAAAATAACGTAATATTTCTTGGCCATCTTGGTGTTCGTGTCTGTCCTCACCTTCACTCTGTCAAACTTCTCACTCAATATCTTTTAAAGTGCCAAGAATAACTAGCAGTCCATTTTCTATTAGGTTAATGTAACTAGCAGTTCATTTTCTATTAAGTTAATGTAACTAGCAGTTCATTTTCTTTGCAACTGAGCCAGCTACCAGCCCGTTTTCTTCAAGGATAAATCACCAAAAACATCATATATTTTAACAAAAGTCAAACAGCAATTCGTTTTCTTTGAAGCAAAATTAACTAGTTTTTGTTCTCTTTGGGGACAGAGGCAACTAACACTCCACTTTCTTTGGGTTGAAACTAACAGTCCATATCATTTGTGTTAAAATTATCGAAGCCTACCATCGTTTGGGTTAATTCTGTTACTTACCCATTTTCTTTGGTCTCGAAGCAACTGTGTTTTGTTCACCTCATACAAAAACAACCCATCACTTCATTTTCATTAAGGTAAAACAACTCGCACTCCGTTTTCTGTAAGGTACACTTCGTTTTCTTTAGGGGACACTTAGAAGTTTTCACATCACATATTATTTGATACACCAAGCAAGTCTTATTCTTTTTTTCTGTTCGACTTTATCACACTAGAACCATGTTTTCTGTTGGTGAGAGAAAAGAGAAGTTATAGATATCAGACGTTGATCGAGAGCTGCTAAGACTGTCAATACACACCTGTTGGTAGTTTAGAACATTATTCACTGAACAACTTTATATAGTGAATAAACCTGAGCATAATTATTCAAGGATTCATACATAAATTAGGTTATTCTTCAGAGTAGAACACCTCGACAAGTATGGCTCTTAAGTTTCACCTCCAAGGCTTAAAGTAATATTGATAATGACGATGAAACAGAAACCAACAGACACAAATAAAATAAATTCATTGCTCAGATTAGTTCGTGTTTACCCCGGGGTCTTGTGTCTGTCTGTCTGTCTGTCTGTCTGTCTGTCTGTCTGTCTGTAAGTCTTAAATCAAATGAACGATATACTAGAGAAAATATATAGCAAGACTCTTAATATAAACGTCTATTGGAACGCCGATGCCTCCTGTGACGTCATCAGGTACCACTGTACATCGACTGCTCCCAAAAGGATTTTTTTCCTCTAAACTGAATTCTAATATTGTTGTTGTTATTCGTTTCATTATATCATTTAATTATATTATTTTACTGATATCTAGTTTGATGTCTATGATTTTTTAATTAGAATATATAAGATAAAATATTAATAATGTAACACTGATATGAGGAGGTACTGTGTCATTCTATCATCTGAGCATTAAATATCTGTCATGTAACAGAGAATATTATAGTGTTTTTTGTTATGACCGATTATTAAGTTGGTTGGTTAATGACACAACACATTATTACCGATAATTACCTGGGATATGGTATTGTAAAAATAATTGATGTAAATTAAAGGGCATTAAAGGAATACCATTCATGTTTTGGTTTCATATGGAGAGGTGAACCACACACACACACACACACACACACACACACACACACACACACACAAATAACATAAATTAATACCAATAATAACTTTACAGAATGGTGGGATGATGCTGGGGGAGGTTGAGATGGAGGCGGAGGCGGAGGTGGCCCTGGTTGAGATGGAGGTGGCCCTGGTTGAGATGGAGGTGGCCCTGGTTGAGATGGAGGTGGCCCTGGTTGAGAAATGAGGGTAGCCACAATAAACTCTGTAAAGACACAGAATAAATCTATTACAAGATCTTCATGTTATAGTGAAAACGCTTTTCATTTCACCACGAGCTGCATGCGTGTTTCACACACACACACACACACACACACACACATACACACACACACACACACACACACACACACACACACACAGTGTTATCAACAGATTTCTTCCAGTCACAATTTTTATCCCGTGACCACAACATGACTCCTTTGTTGACACTCTCCGGCCAGTCACCCTGTTATCACCGGGTCACCTGCTTATCTCTACCTCTCCTCCTCCCTCCCTCCTTCCTCCTCTTCTTCTTTCTTTCTTTCTCTCTCTCTCTCCACTCAGGGAAGAAGGAAAATCCCATAAGAATTTTTGGGAAAGCCACAAGATAAATATTAGCTGGGGAAAATACAGGACGAATGAGAACTGACCGAGAGCTGAAAAAGGTGTAGGGACAATGGTGTGAGAGAGAGAGAGAGAGAGAGAGAGAGAGAGAGAGAGAGAGAGAGAGAGAGAGGAGAGAGAGAGAGGGAGAGAGAGAGAGAGAGAGAGAGGGAGGCCATATTTTCCTTCTCTTGTTGTAAAGCACAAAGTATTTGCAATGTGGCTGTCTGTGTCTGTCTGTCTGTCTGTCTGTTGAGGGTGAAGGAAGGAATGACGGTCCTGTCAATTGAACAGTCGTCATTGTGGGAATAATAGGAGCGGCTCACTGCTGCCTTTGTCTGTCTGTAATCCGCGGTAGGGAGGGAGGAAAGGGAGAGGGGATAGGGGTGGTGAAGGAGGGGTAGGGAGGGAGGAGGGAGGGAGGGAGGATGGGAGGGGAGGGGAGGATGGAGGGAGGGAGGATGGGAGGGAGGAGGGAGGGAGGGAGGGAGGATGGGAGGGGAGGGAGGATGGAGGAGGGAGGGAGGGGAGAGTAGGGGAGGGAGGGAGAGACGGAGAGTAGGGGAGGAGGGAGACGGAGAGTAGGGGAGGAGGGCAGAGGAGAGGGGTGGAGGCGAGGGCAGAGGGAGGGAGTGATGGGAGAGGGAGGGAGGGAGGGAGGGAGGATGGGAGGAGGAGGGAGAGTAGGGAGTGAGGAGACGGAGAGTAGGGAGGGAGGGAGACGAGAGTAGGGAGGGAGGAAAGGAAGAGGGGGAGGATGGAGAAGGAGGAAGAGGGAGGAGGATGGGAGGAGGAGGAGGAGGGAGGGAGGAGGGAGGGAGAGAAAGGAGGAAGATAGGGAAAAGAGGGGAAGGAGAGGGGATGGATAGATGTAGGATAATGATGACCGCAGGTAACCCCCAGCTGACCCCCAGATGACCCCCAGGTGACCTCCAGGTAACCACAGGTGACCCCCAAGTGACCTCTGAGGGTGCCAGTTTTATTACGTCACATACTCAGGTAGAAGACATTAAAAAGTTTGCCGGGAGGTAAGACACAGAGCAGTAAATGTCATCTGGTAATTACGTTAAGGCAGTTGAGCTACAGTGGTGGGGAGGTGGGTGGGGAGGTGTGGGGAGGTAGGGGAGGTGGTGGAGGGGAGGTGGGGATGGGGGAGGTGGTGGGGAGGTGGGGGGGAGGGGTGGGGAGGGGCAGGGGGAGGTGGTGGGGAGGTGGTGGGAGGTGGGGGGGGAGGTGGGGGATGTGGGGGGAGGGGTGGGTGGGAGGTAGGGGAGGTGGGGGGGCAGGGGAGGTGGGTGGGGAGGTGGTGGGAGGTGGGTGGGGAGGTGTGGGGGGGAGGTAGGGGAGGGGTGGTGGGGAGGTGGGGAGGTAGGGGAGGTGGTGGGGAGGTGGTGGGGGAGGTGGGGGAGGTGGTGGGGAGGTGGTGGGGAGGTGGGGGAGGTGGGGAGGGTGGGGTGGTGGGGAAGTGGTGGGGAGGTGGGGGATGTGGTGGGGAGGCATGATTATTATCATTATTATTATTATTATTATTATTACCGTCAGTCATCAGCATCGTGGCACTAGTATTCACCTGTATAGGCACTCACCCAGCGTGCCAACCACCTGTGTTGTATGGCACTAACCGCTCGTAACCATGGAGATGATCGCGCGCACGCACACACACACACACACACACAGAGCCTCACCTTATGACCGTAAAATATCCTCAAAATTATACTAAGACTCTACCTTAATTAGACAGGTAACTTAGCACTAATTAAGAGACTCAATTGAGGGAAACGAAATCATTATGATCGGACTGATAAAGATACCACACGTTACTTTTGTCTCCTATGTTAAGTGAAAGTATCTTGTTAAGGTCGAGTCTCTGTGTAATTTACAGGATATAGTTAATGTACTTATCTCTGTGTTTTAAATCCAAATCACCCAATTAGATACGTTATTTAATTGTCAATCACGATGTAAAATTTGAAGGAACTAATGAGATTATATCGTGTTTTTGCTGTATATTAAGTTAGGGTTAATACTTACTACTTATTGACTACCATACGATGGAAATTATCTTCTTTCTTTCTTTCTTTCTTTATTTCTCTCTCTCTCTCTCTCTCTCTCTCTCTCTCTCTCTCTCTCTCTCTCTCATATAAACATTAAAAAAATATTACTATAGGAACAATAGAAAATCCAAACCAGCAAATATTAGAGACCAGTATAGGTTAATCCCAACAGGTAACCTCCCTCCCCGTGTACAACCCCCGTGTGCTCAGGTAAACCCCGTGTACAACTCCCCATGTGCTCAGGTAAACCCCGTGTAGAACCCCCGTATGCTCAGGTAACCCCGTGTACTCAGGTAAACCCGTATACAACCCCCCGTATGATCAGGTAAACCCCCGTGTACAGCCCCCCCGTGTACTCAGGTAAACCCCGTGTGTGCTCTCTGTCCCACAAACAATGCACTTTTTAGGAGACTCCGCTAACAAACTGATTAATGGTTGGATTATTGTTGGAACTCCCATCCCCCGTAACAGCCACAAAGCACTTACGTTAATACCTCTCTAGTTGTGTTTTTCCCCATATTTGATTTCTGTCTGAATGTTACCCTCGGTTATTCTGACACTTAATCATTCCACTATCATCTACAACCAGACTCCATCATCCTACCTTCAATCACCACCATCCTCCATCACCACCCTCCATCACCACCCTCCACCATCCTCCATCACCACCCTCCACCCTCCACCATCACCCTCCTCCATCCTCCATCACCCTCCTCCATTCTCCAACAGTCGACTCCGTGAAACCGTAACTTAAAACTCACTCTTTTGAGCGACAAGTTGAGTCCTTCACCAAGGTATCGACGCCCCTGTCTTTAAGAAAGCCAGCACGAGCAAACACCATCGCCAGGCTTACCATGGTCGTCAAATTCCTTTCCTCCTCCTCCTCTTCCTCCTTCTTCTCTTCCTTCTCCTCCTCCTTCCAATGTCTCTGTTAGTTGAATACGCCCTCCTCCCTATCTTCCTTTGCCTCCTTCGTCTTCAACTCTTCCTCCCCTCCTCCCCACCCACACCCCATTTTCTCCCCAAATTCTCCACCGTAAACCCTGATTTCCCCCCCCATTTTTATCCATTTACACTATACCCCATTCCTCTCCTCACCCATGACGTCTTTCCCACCCCTCTCCCCTCCTCCTTCCCCACCCCTTGTTCCTTCCCCCCACCCCCTCTTCCTCCCCCACCCCCATGCCACTTCCCATTCACTCTCTCCGTGTCTGATTTTTCCCCCATTCAGCTCTGCCCATGTCCGTGCCTGGGCCGTGTGGTAGAGAGCCACGGGTGAGCACTTCTCCGTGACGAACGGCGGCCACTGTTGTATTATGACCTGGTAATTAGTGGTGTGGGGAGGAGGAGGTGAGGGGGGAGGGGTGAAGGTGGGGAGGTGAGGAAGTGGGGAGTAGGAGGGTGGGGTGAAGGTGGGGAGGTGAGTAAGGGGAGAGGGGGTGGGGAGGAGGGGTGGGGAGGAGAGGAGGGGGTGGGGAGGAAAAGGGAGGTGGGGATGAGGAGGGTGGCGAGGTGAGTAAGAGGAGAGAGGGGAGAGAAGAAGGAAAAGGAGGAGGAGGAAGAAGAGGAGGAGGGGGAAGAAGAGGAGGAGGAGGAAGAGTGCCTGGACACAGTTTTAATATTTGAGATGTGTGTATCATAAACTTGTACTGTAATTAAGGATGCAAGAGAGAGAGAGAGAGAGAGAGAGAGAGAGAGAGAGAGAGAGCAACAAGGAATACACTCTAATATTAGTATTGAGGATTAATCTCTCTCTCTCGTTTACCTGATGATTAGGTTAGGTTAGGTTAGGATATAGGTTAAGTTAGGTTAGATTAGGTTAGATTAGGTTAAGGTATTTAATCATCAGGTAAAATAAACTAGGATGCTTTACCTACAGGTGATCTAAACCCTTCGTCTGCATCTCCTACAGGATGATTGAGCCACAACAACAAAGTTTAATATAACATGTTTCCACAATACCCGCCCGCCTGCCCACCCCTCCACCCACCCTGCCGCCCACCCGCCCACTGTTAGCAAAGTTACTCTAAATTAGGCTCTGAGTTCACCACTAATTTCCTACAGATGGAAATCCCTCCGAGTCAGTATTCACCGTGGCCGCTGCTGAATAATAACCTGCTCTAAGTTACACCACAGAACCAACCCGATCAGTGGTCAGTCTCTCTCGTGTTTGTTTATGACGGAAGCTGACCTCTGATGTGTGAGTGTGTGAGAGTGACGTACCCCCAACACACCCCTAAACCCCCCCATACACCCCCACCCCATCCACTTCATCCACTCCCCAGAGGACACGTGGACAGGTAAATATCAGGTGATTCCAGGTAAGGTTAAGCGCCACTCTCCTAATGACTTGCTAATGGTTGGGTCTCTTAGGTGGCATATGACACACCCCACACACACCTGAAGGCTCCACACACACCTGAAGGCTCCACACACACCTAAAGGTTCCACACACACACCTGAAGGTTCCACACACACACCTGAAGGCTCCACACACACCTGAAGGCTCCACACACACATTTGCCTCCCCCACCATACCAGCT